CAATTCTGGGACACTGTGTAGCCACTTTCTTAGTATGTATGTTGCAGCTTCTGATATGTTCATGTAGCTACCTGTATTTGGGAGACTTTTGGTAACTTGTTGTCTTTGTATGTTTTTAAGACTATCATGGAAAGTTGTTGTTGCTATGTGCCATCGAGTTGCTTGCGACTCACAGCAACCCTATGTACAAAAGCCCTAAACCCTGCTCTATCCTGTGCCAATCACACTGCCTCTGACACACCCATCCTGACTACCCCAGTCACTGATTCAATCCACCTCATAGACGGTCTTCCCCACCTGTGCTGTCCCTCAACCCTCCCAAGCATGATGTCCCTCTCCAAGGACCGGTCTCTCCTCACAACATGTCCAAAGTATGTTAGACGGAGCCTCAGAATCCTTGCCTCCAAGGAGCAGCCTGGTTTAACCCTCTCCAGGATGAATGTTCATTTTCTTGGCAGTCCAGGTACATTCAATACTCTTCTCCAGCACCACAGCTCAAAGGCATCAATTCTCCTTCTATCCTCCTTAGTCATTGTCCAACTCTCTGATGAATAACAAGTGATTGCAAAGACCACAGTCTGTATCAGACACACCTTAGTCTCCAGAGTGACACCATTGCTCTTCAGTACCCTGGAGAGGCCCCTAACAGCAGACTTCCCCATCACAATAAGTTTTTTTGATCATGAAGAGTAGTTTAAATATTCTGGGCAGGTCATACAGCCAGGATGACGGCATGGAACCAGGGAGCTTGTACCTGGAAGATAGTGTGATTGAACCTACTAAAGTCAGTCAGTCAGTATCTGGAAAGTTCCCAAGACCCATGAACATGAGGTGTGGTTTGTGCATTCTCTTTCTATGGGAATTTCCTTATGCAAGTCTCTACCCTCTGTGCATGCACTTATCTTTCCAGGAAGTGTGGGTAATGACGATGTGTTTGTCTTGCTCTGGTCATCTTTCTCCGTCTGGCTCAAAATTGCACCAGCTGTTTCTCCGCATCACAGTGTATTTGAAAAGTTTTCTCTCATTCCACATCTGGGCAAGTTCCCATAGCATCTCAACTGCCCAAATAAAGGTTCTCTCAGGCGTTCATTTTCATGTGGATGGGAAGAAAATAGTCCTCCATCTTCCAAGGTGTTCCTGTACAGTTGTGGTTTATTTTTGTGGGTTTTTTTCCTCTCCTTGTTGAAGGCAGGGCTCTGCTTGGTGGGCTGGTCAGCGTGGTGGGTAAGCACAGCCTTTCAGCCATGCTTTTATCCCTTGTTCTGGCCATTTTTGTTTCCCCTAGTTCTCCAGGTGTTCAGACTGCCCATGACCGGGATTTTGTTAGAATAATTCTGTGTCCCTACTAGAAAGAGGCAACTTTGTCAGTCTAGCTAAATAGAAATTTCACTGGAAGTGTTTTGAGCATAGCTTTCTTTTCTTTTCTTCTCTCTCTCTCTCTCTCTCTCTTTCTTTCCTTCCTTCCTTTCTTTCTTTTTTAATACCATTTCCTTTAACATTTGCCTTACCTGCACTATTTTAACTGGTCAAATAAGCAGAAAAAAAGGTTTGATTCTCATGCTGACATATTGAAGACAAAAGGCAGCCTGTTTCTTTCCTCTTTGATAATAAACAGTGACCTCAAAGGCTTTAGCAATCTAGGAGAGATGCTGGGGATTTGTATAAGATAAACAGAGGCAATGATTTTTATAATGTTTTATTTAGAAAAACAAGCCAGGCATAAATGCCTTTTCTTTGTTGGGGTTTTTCCTCCCATTAGTTTCACTTATTTATTTTCAGTTCTTTAATTTTATCTCTTTATTTGCCTTTGGTAAAAATTTTACAAATCCTAACTGTACCTTTTCTTTAGCGCATTCTTCAAATGATAATTTCTTCCACTGTCACCATTAAATCTTAATCCATTCCAGTTACTTGCATGGGTCAATGAGTCTATATGTACTGCTGCTATTTTAAAAATGTTTCCCCTTGGTAAGGAAAGGGGGGAAAAAGATGTTGAGAGCCAGATGGGCCTCTTCACAGTTCATTTAGCAAACCTAATACATTGGGCTCCACCCTCCTCTCACTCACTATTGCTGTTAAACTTCCATATAATTTGGTAATCATTTTCATTATCAGAGAGTGACCCTAAAGCAGCCTATCCTGGATCGTCCAGTCCTCGCAGCTGCTCTTTTTCTGCCTTTTCCTACAGTAGACCCTAAGAACCTCAGAGTTTATTAGCTGCAGACTGACCTTTGGGCTGCAGAGGTCAAGAAGGGGTCAGCTCAGAGGGCTTGCCCAGTTCTTTAAAAGCTATAACAAGCTGTCCATCAGACAGAGTGGACTGTATAAACAAAGCCAAATCTTCAGAAATTCTGTACCACTTCTGTTAACACTTACCCTGCATTCACATCACTTCTCCTGATGTACTTTGGATCATTCAACTCTGGGGAAGTGAATAGACAGCTCTAATAAGCCTATTTGGAGAGGGTTGTTTATGGGATTACGAAGCTTGGTGAAGGAAACCCACAGCACTCAGCTGTGCCTCTACCATTGTAGAATTGTGTGACACTGTGACAAACTCAGTTATTGCAACTCACACAGAACTGACACCTTCCTCCACGAGCTAAATTACAGAGAACATATGCTTTCACTTTAAGAGACTTCAGTGGATCCCAAACAATGGCTTAGCTTCTGGCCTAAGAAAGGTACAAATATTTTATAGCCTTGCTGCAAATTCTACTTAAAAATTCTCCCCAACGTCATTACCACAAATAAACCTGCTGAAGAGGTGAAGGCCTACATTACAGTAGACTTACACTGAAGTTATTGGCATCTTCAGAGGCTCAGTGGGTCTAAATTTCTTGAAGTTGTACTATTCATAATACATTCTCCAATGTGCAATATAAAATAATTAGAGTCATCTGTATTTAACTTTGAGAAGAAAAAATTCCCATTATCTAATCTAACTGATCCCCTGATAGCTTAGATGAAAGTAAAATACTGTAACCTATTGCTTGGCCTTTGGCGAGTGCTAATTATTTTCTGTCAAAGCACATTTTTCCTCGTGTAATTCCAGAGTACACACTAGGCCGATCTCTCCAGTGCAGACGGCTCAGTAAGCATGGCAGTGGATGTTTTATAACTTTCACCACCAAATGCTTGATGGCTACTCAAGGCAATGCCTGATTCCAGACAGCCAGATGAAGCTTTGATGAGGAAAAGAAAGGTGTATGGTAACAGTCTGTTTATACAGATCATATGGATGAGTCTTAGATAGGGTCACCAGGACGGGAAACATCAAATGTGGGAGGAGAAAGGGTAGGCCAAGGATTATGGCTAGTTAATACTCAAAGGACAATTTTCTTTCTGGGCTCTCAAGACATGACCCTCTTGAAATTTTCTTTCAGGTGTTTAGTTTTAAAGAGGTCTGCAGAGTGTCACTTGCTAAGCTCTTTCTTTTCTCTTTCTCTACCACAAAGTACTTGAGAATTTTTGTTTCACAGGCTAGACTACATCAACTTCAATGCTGGCTCCAGTGCTTGATTAAACGGTTAGCAGTCAGGGCCAGCAATGCTGAAACCAGACGCCTTTAAAACAGGCCATTTTGGTGTTGTCTGATGATTTGGTGTATTAGGAAATTATTATTAACAAACTAACAGCACTCACCATACAAAAGACAACATTGTCAACATTTGGTCTCTCTCTGTGCTATGCTGCCACTGGAGAGATGGGGATGGAGGAGAGATTTACAGGGGATTCTTTCCTTCTCCTTTTCCTATTCAATACGAACAACCAGAATGAGAGGGATATAAAAGGTCACAGAGAAAGAGTGAGAGCACGCTCTTAGATGTCCGCACACTGCTATTACATTACTTTATAAAGTACAGGACTTTAATGAATAGACAAACTTCAATTTTACAGCAAAGACAAGTTAAAAATTATTGGAAGTTAAACTGTAAATAACAGAATTACTAGAGTTGAAACTCCCTCCCATCTACTTTGACCACAGGACAAATGAGGGGCAGGTGATAACAATTAAAAATTGTATAATTATAATTGGAATCTGAGTGTGAACTTAAAGAGATGAAACAATTGAAAAAGCAGATAATATGGTTGAAATGCGGCTGAAACTAAATCAAAATTAGTTCATACGATTATTAACCCCTTTCTTGGGAAATGCTCATCTCATCTCGAGCTGTGTTCCGATGAAGTTCTCTTTATGACAGTTTTCATTGGTGAAGCTATCAATTCTAGATTATGCTGCATGAACTCATTTGGAGAGTATTATCACTCTCAAAGAAATCCTTGATTCCCAGACACGGAATTTTTAAAGCATAAAATAAGAGTCAGAGACAAAACCCAGCATGATCTTCCTGATTCCTCTCCTCTTGCCTAGAAACATATGATAATACAAACTATTTTACAAACTACAGCTGTAAAGGCTAAGCCTACCTTTCTGGGGAACTATTATAGCCTTCCATGGAACAACTGTGTTTCAAAGAAGAGCAGGAAATTATGATATTTACCATGCAAGCATCATTTCTGGGGAAACTGACAATTTGTAGAAGCTTTAAGACCACTCACTAAGAGATTACATTGAAGCAAAAGTAATCTCTACGTGGTCAATTCTAAAATGAGAGTTGATAAATCGCTCATTTCAACCTATGTACTCCTCATCAAGTGACGCAAGAGCACTATGTCAACTTCTCACCCTCTATTGTTAACTAAGTAACAGTGCTTGTCTTCAAGACTGTAGATGAAGAGTTCTTCAGCAAACCAATGTGCTGCACGTTAGAATCAGGGACAAATCAGATACACAGAGAAATGACATCATGGAGAAGAACAATTAATGAAGACACCATGTGCAAGAAAACGAACTTTGGCTGAAGGCATCTTAAATGTGTTCACTTCTTACAGGCCTCCCCAACGGAGAGGGATGAGACCAGCTGAAACGAAAGATTTAACCAAATGTAGCTCTTGTTTTTAAGGAACAATAAATTTCTTTCGGTAACAGAACTGACCTGGCTTGCCACTCCGCTCTCAGGTTCTGCCGTGCGGTGAGGGAGGCCAGGATGGCAGTCAGCATTTCATTTCTTTGTTTCACCGGGAGTTCCTCTCTTCTGACTTCACGAAGCACAGCATTTGTCTACAAGAAATGATCCAAAAAAGAAGGGGAAAATTAATAATAAATTTTAAAAAAGCCCATAAGCAAATAAGGACAGTAAATCAATGCCTTTTTAATTTCAGTTCCACTGCTAACAAATCAATACAGTAAATGATGGTCAAAAATGGCCAGCATATATTTTGTATTTAATCAATGTACATGGCACATAAAGTAAATTCTAAAGCTCTATTGCCTTAAGTAAAACATCAAGATACTGTGTATTCTCACTGTAATTTTCTTTGTGGATGATGACTTTTTCCCCCCTTGTGAATTGTCTACTACGAAAAGCATAAATGTGTGTGGTTTGTTCTGCCTTTTTTACAACAGGGCAGCTTTAGGCTTTCTCTCTCCCTCTCTCCCTCTCCTTTCTGCCACCCAACTAAGCCTTTCTGCTCTGTTCCTCCAACTTAAATAACCAAATTCTGTCTCAAGTCAATGCAGTGATTCTTTCTTGGGGGAGGGGAAATAATTTCTTTTCCTTACTGATGAAAATAAGTTCTTGTGAAGAAAGAAAGAACATTTAAGTTGAAAATGAAGTGTTATATATCAATGAACGTTTCCCAGCTTTGACAAGCCCCTACGTGCAATTACACTAATATTCCAAGTGAGTTGCAGGGAATCTTACACCTAGGAGATAAATTTTAAAAATAAAGAGGTCTCGCAGGCAAGTTCAAAAAAACTCAAGCCTCCTCTACCAAGAATTGGGGAATGTCAGATGTTGCTTTTAAAAGCAGTTCAGGCTCAAGCATATAACATCCTATTTATTCTAATTAATGAAAAAAAACCCAGATCTCAAATAGCAGTTTCCATTTTAATCTTCAACACATTCTTGTAAGCTCTTTTTGTATACATATTTTTAAGCACTTAAATGTATGTTACACTATAAAAAAATTTAAAAAGATCCACTTGCTACTTGAAATTTGAGCCAACTTTTCCCTAAGTTTAATCAGAGAATTTGGCTGCGTAGCATGCTTCCCTGTCTTCATATTTTTCTACTTCACATGTTTCTACTTCAAGGAAGAGAAACTTTAAGCATTCATAAATGTTTTTAATTAAAATTTAGTGAGGCTCCTTTAGGGAGTTTATTTTTATATCCTTGGCTGTTGCTATGAGAAATCAGATTGCCGCTTTCTGCATTCTAGTTACTTAATATGATCCTTAATCTAACTCATGTCAATATATTTGTTTACTTAAAAAAGCATCCTCATAAATTGGCTCTTATGTAACTTGAAATACCGCTTTCTTATTCCTTACTTCATTTTCTAGTGTAGAAACGACATTTCCTATCCTCTTGACAATACTGAGAAGGGGGGCAGTGATGTAGCCTATCATCATAAACTGAACTTTCACCTCATAACGGCGTGGGGATCTCTTTGTGCAGAGTTTGTTCTGTGGTATGTAGAGAAAACGCTGGGTGGCTAAAACGGTTTGCACTTGACTGCGGACTGAGAGGCTGGTTTTTGAACCCACTGAGAGACTCCATGGAAGAAAGGACTAGCAATAAGCTTTGGCAAAGGGCATAGCCAAAGAAACCCTTTGAATCTCCATTCAGCTCTTTAATGACTGGAATCCACTCCACAGCAATGGGGTTGGTGAGGGATTTATTGTGGGTGTTACCAGATGAATTTTCAATTAAGATGCCCAGTCCACTCTTATAAAGGAGACTAATCTGAATCTCTTTTCAAAGGCTTTAGATTCTTCAAAGGAATGATGATGATGTTGTTGTTATGTGCCGTTGAGTCACTTGCGACTGATAGCAACCCTATGTACAAGAGCCCTAAACCCTGCTCCATCCTGTGCCAACCTCGTCATCTCTGACACACTTACTCCCACCACCCCAGTCACAGAATTGACCCAGCTCATCAAGGGTCTTCCTCTCCCGATAAAGAAGAAAAAAAAATATTTGGGAGCCATTACTCCATTATCTTAGTTTCTACCAACCATGGCTGTCAGAGTATTCTTCTCTTTCCTGAACTTTCAGACTCTAGGTCATTCTTTTTTTCCTTTGATCTTCCGAATTATCTGCTATCTTTTTCAATAAAGACTCACTTCGTGTAAACTCACCAGAATCCACTTCTGTTGTTCAAGTCAAGAACCCTTACTAACACAAGGAGATAAGACAAATGAATTTATCTATTGCGGAGGTTCTAAGATGACTGGAGCAACACCAACTAAGCAAAGGATGCTGATCTCTGACTCCCAGGTCCAGTTTAAGTGTTAAACTTAGGTGCACCTAATCCAAAACATGGTCTTTTCAAGTGCTTCTGATGCATCTGAAGGTTGGAAATTAATAAAGATAACAGAAGGAGAATCACTATCCTCTTGAGTTGTGGTGTTAGAGAAGAGCATGGAATAGCTCATCTACTGCCAAGAGAACAAGCAAGGCTATGCTGCAGGAAACACAACCAGGGTCCTCCTGGACGCAAGGACAGTAAAACCTGGTCTCACATCCTTCAAACATGCCGTCAGAAGGGGTCAGTCCTTGAGAAAAGGAAACGTGCTGAGCAAGGTGGGTCAGAGAAAGGGAAGAAGATGTCAGCAAGAGGACCCACAGAGTGACCATAACAACAGGCTCAAGCACACAAGAGATGGTGTGGCGTGGGGCAGGGCGAGCTACACATCTGATGTACACAGCGTCACTATGAGTGGTAGTCAGCTTGATAGCCTTTCATAACAACAACAACAACATCAGCCACAACAACAATATCTAAAAGCTGTCTAATTTCAGGAAGGCCCTGGCCTCAATGTGTATTCTAGCAACAATCCTATTCCTGGGCTGTGAAACTCTACTTTATATACATAAAGGTGGAAAGCATCTCAAAAAGCCATGCAGGAACAAACGTTTACAGAATATATTCTGGGCCTCCACAAGAAAAAGACTGATAACCCAATTACAAAATAGGCAAAAGACATGGATAGAATTTTCACAGAGGAAGGTATTCGAATGGCAAACAGACATATGAAGAAATAAATGTTCCAAATCACTGGCAATAAGAGAGGTGTAAATCAAAACCACAATGAAGTACCATCTCACTCTAGTAACAGAGGCAAAGTTTAACAGGGCAGCAAGTAATAAATGTTGGAGAGGATGTGGCGAGAAAGAAACACTTATACATTGTTGGTAGGACTGTAAAATGATACAATCTTCTGGAAGGCAGTTTGGCGCTTCCTCAAAAATCTGAACATAGAAATTCCCTATGACCCAGCTATTCCACTACTTGGAATATACCCTGAGAATATGAGAACTGAGACACAAACTGAGATTTGTACACCAATGTTCACAGCAGCATTATTCACCATCACAAGAACATGAAAATAGCCCAAATGTCCAACCACAAATGAATGGGTTAAGAAATTATGGTACACTCACACAATGGAATACTATGCAGCACGCAGGAGCAATAACTTTGCAAATTACTACCTAACTTGGGAGGGACTGGAGAGCATTATACTGAGTGAACTAACTCAGTACCACAAGGACAAATATTGTAGAAGACGGTTATTGTAGAATGAATAAGGATCCAGGAGGGGTGGGAGAGGCTGGAAGCAGAGGGATGTGGATGTATAGGGGGAAGAGGGGATTAATTATTGGCTTGTACAATTTGATGGGGGGAGGTGAGGGAAATGGAAAAGAATTTGTTCGAATTTGTATTAGAACTTTGTAAATAAACTAGAGAAAAACAAGAACAAAAAGCCATGTAGTCTACCACTGTGCCTGCAGATACGTACTAGTTTACCAAAACACAAAACTGTGCCAAGCAGAATATTAAAAAAAAAAGAGTTATCCAAGTGATGTTAAAGAATTTGATAAGAACAAAGTTATTACTTCCATGAAATCTATTAAAATATATTGTTTAAGTCATGGAGCTCTTTCTTGCCTGTCATATGATGTACATTTTATCCAGGTCTTGTTTGAACTAGGATCCTGAATACTTTCAGAGGGAAGGAGAAAAGGGTTAGAAAGTAAACTTCAAGAATGCAAGGGCATTGTCTACCACTCTACTTATCAAAGTGTCCTGCTTAAAGATTTTAGTATTTGTCAAATCATTGACTACAGAAGACAGTTGAAAAAGATATTGTAGAAACAAAGACTGATGGAAGACCACCTTCAATTAAGAGATTCACTCATAAATTGATGAATTCATTAAATAATTAAGGAAGAGTTACGTGCTCTATCAACAACAATCTCTTCACTTCAATAAAGGATTCATTTAAAGGCTTTTAAATAAACAGATTCTTTCTATAATTTCCAAAACTTCATTTATTTGATACATAATCATAATTATTGTCTTATTAGTGCAAAAGCTATGTAATATTTTGTTAAAATTGAGGCAATTTCAAAGCATCAAATATCTTCAATTTAAAAGAAAAAATGGTGACTAGTGGTCACTAAAACTAAAAGATGACAAAAAAATGTATATTTGCTAAAGTTATGTTACTTAATACTGTTGTTGTTGTTATGTGCCATCATGTCACTTGCAATTCAAAGAAACCCTATGTACAAGTGCTCTCAAACTCTGCCCTATCTTGAGCCAATATGATTGTCTCTGACACACCTACACTTATTACCCCAGTAACTATGTCGATCTATCTCATCGAGGGTGTTCCTCTCCTATACCATCCCTCCACCTTTCCAAGCATGATGTCCTTCTCCAAGGACTGGTCCCTCCTGACAACATAGTCAAAGAAGATGGAACTTCAAAAGTCTTGCCTCTCCAGGACAGATCCGTTTGCTTTCTTAGCAGTCTATGGTATGTTAATACTCTTCTCCAGCACCACAATTCAAAGGCATTGCTTCTTCTTTTATCATCCTTAGTCAATGTCAGCTCTCTGACATTGCAAAGACCCTGGGTTGGATGAGGCCTACCTAAATCTCTAGAATGACATCGATACACTTCAGTCCTCTGGAGAGGACTGAAAAGGAAAGCAGATTTTTCCTAATGCGATTAGTCTTGTGATTTCCTGGCTGCTGGTACTAAGAC